TGTAACGATTGAATTACGAAAAGTGTGATAGGTATTATGTTATACAGTTCATATATATATGTTTCATGATGATAATGATGTTATTGCTTTCGTATATTGTTTTATGAATTTCACCGAGGTAAGTAAATGGTAAAGGTTTTATTTATCGATAAAAGGACTTGTTGTAAATTATGCTCCATTGGTCATTTTGTGTTTTCTACCCACCTTTACCTCCGTGACGGTGAGATATCGTGATGTCTTTACTGGGCTAGTATAGCTCATTCCTTATTTAATCATTTCAGATCAAGAGGACATCGTTCCCGAGCCGATTCCGCAGGAGGACGACGAAGGGGACGCTTAAAGACTCCATAGTCACATTCGTAGTTTTTACTTTCAAGTTTCTCCTTTAGGTAGTTTAATCTTTTATATTTTGTGAGCACGTTTCGGTTTTAGTGTAAGGGATGTTATTCAAATTTTGACCTCGCTTCCGCATTTAATATTTTTGAATATAAAATTCCATTTTAAATTTCCGGGGGTGTTACATAATCCAATTATATAAGAGGTCTAGAGTTTCAAAATGATTTTGCCGAAAGTTTACTATGTAACAAACTTGAGATATTTTCTTTATGTTTGAACATTAATAGGACTGTAGTAACATACTTACAACTAGATAAAGCATATTTAATCTAAGAAGGGGAAAAAAAAAAAAAGAACAACAAAAATAGGATTTTTATTTAGTATATATTTATGCAAATATAAATAAATAATTTTCAAATAATATATTTAACAAAATTAATTTATTATTTTCAACGAACGTAACTAACGATTAAAAAAATAAGATACATACTTCAGTAGAAAATTATATATTCATGTGTAATAAAATTTTTGAGCAATATGAATAATATAAGAAATTGGAAAAGAATTATTATAATTTATCAATAGAAAGGAAAGTGTCAAATTAAAATATAGAAGTCAAAATTAAAAAAAATTGATAAAATACAAAAAAAAAAAAAAAGAAGAAAACCTAATTAAAGCATAAAAAATGAAGTGAGCATTATTTGATTAAAATTAATTCTGAAGATTTCAGTAAATAAATAAAAAATTGATTATTTGATTAAAATTAAAGAAAAAAAATAAAAGAAAGAACATGGGATTTACAATTTCAATCCTTTACGGGAATGAAAATCCATACTAGAGAAGGTAGTGAAAGAAAGGAGAAGCAGTGCGAAATTTGAAGTCAATTGGAGCTGAGAAAACAAAAACATTTTGACCCAAAAAAAAAAAAAATTATGAAAGAAGAAATATTTATATATGAAATATGTTTGTCAGCGAATAGAGATTGAGTTAATTGAAATTAATTAGATAGATAAAAATATATGATATGATATTTGAATTAATATGATATGACATATATAGTAGTAGTTTTAATAAATAATCAATAAAAGTTCTTTAATTAAAAGGATAGATAAAATTTAATGTTAATTATATGCCATAACACATTAAACCATCACCCTTGATTGATAAAAAAATATTTGTAGCTTTTTTTCTTTTTTTTTTTAACTACCAACTTTTTTTCTTTGCATATATGCTTAAGCTATAATTGATAACCCCTAGCAAATATTATTTAGGTTAAAACTTTGAAAAAAAATTTTACCGTTATTTTGTTTTTTTTCTTATTCAAATAGATAAATACTAGCTAAAACGTTAGATGAGTATATCTATTTTTAGAAGAAAAAGAAAATGTAAATTATATATGTTTTACTCAATGCAGTACTTACTATTAGTCCAGTCAAATAAATACTTTACCCTCATTCACTCATTTTACCTTTTTTTTTTTTAATTGTATAAAATATTTAAATATATAATTAAAATTTAATTAAACAATTTAATTGTAAATTAAAATAAAATAATATTTAATAATAAATATAAAATAACATCATAATAACCATTATGAGTACATAAAATTAAATGTAATTAAATATTTAACCGCTCTACACTCATTGCAAATTTTGTAACTTTTTTTATTCAGTACTCATTTCGTACATAGTTAATTACAGATTTTCACCCCTCCTATCCAAAATAATTTAGACAGTCGCTCGATCACTTGATAAACGTAGTCCTTAGCATTTTAAACATGAAATGATAATATAATAATCTAGAATATAAATGATTTCAATGAATCTCTGAATACAAAACGTTAATTTATATTACCATTTCATCCGGGAAAAATCGATATAAATTGTGTAAAACTACTACATTACATCGACATATCTCATTGTGAATTGCCTTTATGTTTTTGTTTTTCTAAGGGCAAATAACGAGGAGACTTTTGAAAGAATTTCCTGTACTTAGAGGTCGTACAAATCATTATAACTGTATAACCCAGGAACACTTAGCAGTACGAAAGCCTCTGGGTATGTTAAAAAACAAAAAAACAAAAAGAGATCAGCTTTTACAAACAAATCAACACTCTTCAAGGCAACAAATATCTGTTAGACATTAATATCTGTTCGCTTCGACCTTCCAATGCTGTTTACTTCTTGGGAACTGGCGATTGAAAATCTCGGAAGACTGTAACTCTCAGATGCCAAAACTGGCTGCTGAGGATAAAGCGTGGGAGGTGGTGTGAGATTGCGTTGTGCAGGAAGAGGTGGTAGCATGTTGTATTTGTAAGGGTCTCCGGTCAAACTGCAAGCATATTATGGGCTTAAAACTTCAGGTGAACAAAACCAGTTGGAAGAACTGTCTTTCATCTAATGAAAACAAAATATATGGAAGCTCAAAGTACAAAGAATCTGAACTTCAACCTACCTCTGCTTTTTGTAAAATTGATCCTCATCACTCAGATTTTCATCTAAGCGTTGCACAGGTCTCTGAACAGGAGAAATAGACCATGCATTTGCAGCAGGTAATTCATCTGAGAAGTATCTTCTCCTAATCAACTGAAACAATAGGAAGCTGAAGTTATTGTAATTCTATATGTAAATGGAGTGTGGGGAGGAAGGCGAAGGGGGAGGGAGAGAGTACAGAAGATCTAGCAAGGACGATGCAACATACCATTCGGAAAAATTTTGTCAAAGCTTCCTTGTCATATCTTGCTTCCTTGGCAGCCTACATTTCCCACAAAACATTTATCTGATCAAATTTAGGGAGTTACCAGAAAATAGCTGTTTCCAGACGATTTGACATGAAAACTTAATAACGACTTAAAATTATAGAATCAAACACTATCTATAGCACATATACTAGTTCCAAACATATAGCATAAATATACTACTCCAGAACATACATTTCTTTTTGGAACCCGTACGATTTTGCATATTTGTTGAATTACCAGTAGCAAACATTTCTCATTAATTCTTAGTTCGACGAAGAGTGAGTTAACACAAGCCACCCAAAATAGCTTACACCATTCTCATCTTAAATCCACAACATACGCTTTGAATCTATAACAGAGATATGCATAGACGTCAAGCAAAAAGGTAGGTGACATCAGGTACTAAATATGAATGATTCAAACATGGACTCGAAAACAGTTTAACCTTCAGAATTGGCAACTCGGCAGAAATCAATCCCACTTCATCAAAAACTTTGAATCCCTAAATCATTACACAATATGTAATCATCATTAAATTCCCATAAAATAGAACATCTAAATATTACAACACACCCTTCAAATTCATAGCAGAGATAATCATTATAGTACATGACAAACAGACACAAATTGCATAAGATACTAATGTCTTGAGTGAAACATGGAATGCAGTAGACTGATTAGGCAATACAGGAGTCACCTTGACTGAAATTGAACCATACTTGCATCCAAATTTTTCAATGCATAAGATGACACCAAATAGCCATCATGTAAACCAAAACAAATGAAGCCTGACCAGGTTGGGCTGGCAACAAATAGCATTTACTATGCCACTCTATTTACTCGGTGAGATCATTATTTTATGTTTTAGAAGAGAAGAAAAGACATAACAAACAAAGCACCAATGACGTGCTGCCCAAATAGGGACATATTTGTAAATATCTGAAAGACTGTCCATAAGATTTATAAGATAAATCAGTCCTATTCTGGACGGGTTTTTCTTCAAGCAAAATACTAAAAATCTTCAACCAGCAACCTCTAGCTCTAACTAGAAAAAATATATATAAGGATAAATTTGCAAAAGCTCTCATATGTCTCTCATTCAAAATAACCCAAAAGATAGAGAAATCAAATTGGAAGATAATCTTCTTCTTGGACTTCGGAGACAATTCCGTCCAAGACCCAAATTCCCTCCTTGATATCACCACGCATCACCCACGAGAGAATAAGAAGAATATAAGAAGAATAAGGACCAAAGCAAAGCCTTCTAACCTCACAGCAAGAAAGGAGAAGATGCCTCAAGGATTCCCACCACTCAAACACAAAAAACAGGCATTTATATTGGTTTTTCCCCCCACACTATCCAAATTGAGGACCTCCCACAGATTGGCCGCACCACAAAAAGGCAATACAGGGAACTACCTGGTCTTCCACAGTGGGGGCAAGCAATGCAGTATCTGGTTCAAGAATTTGTGGTAGTAGAATGATTTCACTGAAAGTTTACAACTTCGGTTGATTTTCCAAGCAGGGATGTAGCAGCCCCGGTAATTCATAATGGAATTTATATTATAAATATCAAATGCGGAAGCGAAGTCAAAATTTGAATAACATCCTTACACTAAACCAAACGTGCTCACAAAATATAAAAGATTAAACTACCTAAAGGAGAAACTGAAAGTAAAAACTACGAATGTGACTATGGAGTCTTTAGGCGTCCCGTTCGTCGTCCTCGTGCGGAACCGGCTCGGGAACGATGTCCTCTTGATCTGAAATGATTAGATAAGGAATGAACTACACTATCCCAGTAAAGACATCACGATATCTCACCGTCACGGAGGTAAAGGTAGGTAGAAAACACAAAAAGACCAATGGAGCATAATTTACAACAAATCCTTTTTATCGAAAATAAAACCTTTACCATTTACTTAACTCGGTGAAATTCATAAAAACAATATACGAAAGCAATAACATCATCATCATCATGAAAATATATATATGAACTGTATAACATAATACCTATCACACTCTTCGTAATTCAATCGTTACACAACATATTTTCCTAATTTACCAGCCCACTAGTATCCATGGGGATCCATAGGGGTCCCGCTACCCGTTAATCCTTAACACTCGAAATCATATTCCAGGGCCGTCCCCATACCCCGTCAGGTATGGGCGCCAAAACATAGACCTCATTACCCCGTCCAGTATGAGGGTGAAACGGGTCGTCCCCATACCCCGTCCGGTATGGGAGACCACAATCCTGATAGGGTTCCCTACGGACCCGGTCCGTCCACTATCTCCCAGGATATCTAGTCAGGCTGAACACATTATACAATTTCCATTCACATAATCTTTCATTCTCCTTTTCCCTCAGTCAGCATTATCAATCACATACAAACAAGCAAAACGATAATTTATGTCAAACAGACAACATACAGTATCAATATCCCGGTCATTCAATCCATAATCAATAAAATAGTAAAATATGCACACGAAACTATAAAATGGAAACATTGAACCTCATGCTGCATTTAAAACTGTAAAAAAGGCCAAATAACAGTTAACCGACAAACACACTAGACTCGGGCCCCATTAGCGACCTTAAACAATTTCACACATTCGTTGATTCACGAAATACCGTTTTATCATTTATTGGACTTTAAAACCGTGATAGGAAATAGGGTGAGGGGTCCTTACTCGTTTCGGGGTCCGAACACGGCTTCACAGTGCGCTTGCAGGCTGTCCCTAATTTTCCCTGAATTTTTCCCAGGGAACTGAAACGCACTACTGGTACCTGCACGTGTTCCAAAAAATTCTAAATTAGGCCCAGGGCCCTTTTCGGCCCAAATCGCAACTCCGGCACGGCGGCTCCGCCGTGCTCCGGCGACGGCGCCGCCGCTGGCGGCGGCGATTCGCCTCGGGTTGGCTGTTTTCAGCCGTTTTCGGCCGGATTCGGCCACACTCGCATCGGTCCCTGCGAGAAAACAACCCTAGGGCCCTCGGGGGGCCAAAAAATCACGAAAAAACGGAGCTTACCGGCGGCGGCGCTCTCGGGTGCGGCGGCTCTCCGGCGAGGTTCGTGTTTTGGTGATTCGGCTCTAGTCAACCTGTAGAGAAAAAAATGGTGATCACGGTGATATAAAAATTGCATCAAACGGAGGCCGGGAAGGGCCTCATCGGAGGCAAAAACCGAGAAGGGGCGCGGCGGCGCCGCTGGGCTTCGGCCGTTTGGCCGGGATTTTGGCTCCGATTTGGCCACAGGAGGAATTAGCGTGGAAAAACGAGTCGGGGGTACGAAATTTACCTCGATCGGCGGTCGGAAATTCCTCCGGTGCGGCGGCGGGTGGCGGCGGCTGGCTTCTGGTTCGTCTTCTCCGGCGAGCGGCAGGCGGCTAGGGTTTGTGGTCTGGTGTGGGGGTTCTATTTATAACCCTTTGCCTTTTGATCTCAACCGTCCATTTTGTTTTAATCTGGGCCGTCCGTGCGCTTAAATCTGGGCCGTTCGATCGCACGCTTGATCTGGGCCGTCTGATCGCGCCTACGCGGATCGCCAACGTGGCCCTTTTTGGAACGACGTGGTCTTGCCACGTGGCAGGTCCCGGTTGGCCGGGACTGCTGACCGGGCCTGCTGATGTGGCTGCCGACGTGGTTTTTTTTTTTTTTTATTTTTTATCGGCCCTTTTTCGGGCGCTACAAGGGACGCAATCTTCATTTAGCTGTATGGTTACGAATCCAGAAGTTGATAGAAGGGTGACCCATTCATCCATTCCCATTCACTAATATTACATAGGATAGGGATGCTCCACTAGATAACACTACCATTCACCTTAAAGCACTGTGTAAGTTTTATATTCTCTATCCTTTGCAGCTTAACAAATGCTCAGAAAGATATCTTTTAAGACCCATCCATACACTAATCGTAAACAGCAAACTTCAAACTTCAAGCAATTCTGAATGTTATTCCAGTCTATATTAATCCAGCTCCAAGCTTCTAGATATCAAACCATTATTGGAAAAACCAATATCAGCAGCAACGAAATTCCTCTATAAGGCATTTGTAGAGGATAAAAATGCCAGCACAACGTCGCAACACCTTGTTAAACTTAGTGATGGATGTTTTTGTGCATGGGCTGTTTGCTAAAGCCAAACAAAACTCCACCCCTTCTAGTGATGAAACTATTATTAAAGACCAATATCAGCAGCAATGAGATTCCTTTATAAGGCATTTGTAGAGGATAAAAATGCCAGCACCACATTGCAACACTTTGCTAAACTTAGTGATGGAACCTCTTGTGCAGGGCTGTTTGATCTAGTCCCAAGAAATTCACCCACGAGAATTTGCTTGTAAAGAATCAATTCTTTAACAGGAAATAGAGATAAGAAGTAGATGTCCGTAAGCATAGTGATCTAGTCCCAAGAAATTCACCCACAAGAATCTGCTTGTAAAGACTCAATTCTTTAACAGGAAATAGAGATAAGTAGATGTCCGTGAGCATAGTGATCTAGTCCCAAGAAATTCACCCACGAGAATCTGCTTGTAAAGACTCAATTCTTTAACAGGAAATAGAGATAAGTAGATGTCCATGAGCATAGTTTCTTTAACATTTGGTAAAAATAGAATCCCACATCTCAACCTCCTTAAATTTACCACTAAGAGGGACATCAAGGTACTTAATTAGAAAAGATGTGATCTTGTAGCTGAAAGCTGTAACAAACTCGTTGGATCTAACAACATTCCTCAAAGGAACCACTTCTGATTTGCCCAATTGAAGGATGGAAAACAGCTTGAGAGCACAAGAGAATACACCTTATGTTCATGAAGGATTCCCTTCTTTGTTTTATGGACAAAATCATATCATCAACAAACATGAGGTGTTAATTCCTCTTTCCAACTCCTCGACCAACCTTGGGACAATTGAACATGCTCACTCCTTTGCTCAATAAGGAAACAATTGAACGCTCCCATATGAGAATGAATTTCCTTTTCCTAGATCTCTATAAATTAGGAAAATTCTGATGGTCCAACATCACCAAATGCTGTGGGGGAAGCAGTAGACATACAAGCTTACACCCAATTTCTCCATCTGGCCACAAAACCCATCTTCTCAAGCATGTATATGAAAAATGACCCAAGTACGTGTCATATGCTTTTTCTATATCCAACTTGTACAGAAGTCCAACTTCCCCTTTCTTTAAAATAGCATCCACCATTCCATTTTCCACAAGAGACGTCCAAAATCTGCCAATCCAAGGACAAAACATGCTGAGGATCCATCACAGATTTCACAACTTGTTCATCCTATGCTTCAGGACTTTAGCAATCAACTTGCAAATACACTCTTCCAAACTAATCAGTCTCAACTCACAAAGGTTAACTGCCCCTTCAACTTGGGAATGAAAACAAGAAAGAGGAGTTGAAGTTTTTCTCAAGATTTCCATTTTTGTGGAACTCAATGAACATATCCATCACCTCATCCTTTATCACACTCCAATTCTATTGCCTTGTCACTACTCTAAGAAGATAGAGATTCCTTTAGCCAAAAAAGGAATCTCAACAAGGTATCTCAAGAGGACCCAACAAGAAAATTCCAGACCATCTAGTTTCGGCTTCCACCGCACCATTTCCATTGTACAGATTTTCTTAGAAATTTCTTGCTGCAATTTTTCATATCATTGCCATAGCCAAATTCAAATCCCGACAACCAACCTAGAGATAAATTTTTCCGATAAAAAAAAATTTAATTTTTCTCATATCATTCCAAACTTTTTCAAATAAATCTTGTCTCGGGCTGGGTTAATGTTGTATGCTTGCCCAGGTCAGGTAGGGTTCTAGTTCAGAATTAAAAAAAATATTTCGAAGCAAACCAGGTTATATATAATTTATTTTGTTTAATTTTAGTTAAGAACATAAATACTAAAAACTAACTCTCAAGTTTGGAATTTGTAGTTTGAATGTGGATTACGTTGTTGGAACTTTATTTATAATTTTGTGATTTAAACGTGGACTATGTAATATCATATAATTTAAATATGGATTATGTAACCTGATCTTACATTGAAATTATTGGGGTCTGAATGTAGAATTTGAAATTGATATGGATGTAACTGAATCAACTAAAATTTTGGTAGAATATATTTTGATGTAAATCAGGATTAATGCAGGTTTAGATTGAGTCCATTCAGAGCGAGTCAGAGCAGACGTGAGCGAGCTAGAGTACTCATATAAATCCAACCCACAAAAGAATAGACAGTTGGTTCAGTTTGAGCTTTTTTCTTTACGAAAAATCTAGGCTTGCCTAAATTAAAAAAATAAAAATAAAAAACAAAATAATGAACCAGATTCAAGACGAATTCAAGTTTTGCAAAAGTATTGCAGATCGGTTTGAGTTTTAGAAAATTCACCCTGGAACCCACCAATCGCCCTCTCTACTTAGATATTTGAACTTTGCTCCTAGAAAAGGCCCACTATTTTCCAAGCATGGTTACCTCAAAGTAGAAGGATTCACCAATGCAGATTGGGTTGAATCTCTTGATGAGAGGAGGTAGACATTGGGCTTGATTAATTGGAGAAAAAAAAATGTGCTTGCAAGCTCTAGAGTAGAAGCAAATTGTAAAGAAATTATGCAATAGGCAGGTAAACTAAAAAAATGTGCTTGCAAGCTCTAGAGTAGAAGCAAATTGTAAAGAAATTATGCAATAGGCAGGTAAACTACTTGGGTGGCAGAAATTATTATTAGAAATTAGACAGAAACGATTCACTTTAGTGTGACAACAAAGCAGCAATTAGTATTTCATGTAATCCTAAATTGATCAATATTTCATCAAGGAAAAGATCAACTGCGATACTCTAAACATCTATCATATGACTTCTCCAAATCAACTTGCTGACGCCTTCACCAAAATCCTTGGAAGTAAATAATTTCCATTGATTGATTTACAAGCTGGACATGAAGGACATTTATGCACTATTTCCGAGGGACACTATCATAATTACAGACCATTTGCCACAATTCCAGGATCCCCACTTTCCTTGATGTAAATATTCTCTTTTTAGTTATGTAATCATATATAGCCCATTTCATGAATTATTCGCTAGTATATATGCGTGAAGGTTCATATGAAATAATACACAGAAAAATCCTTTTCTCTGTTCACTATTAAGTTTCACCAGGACACCTATCTGTACATGGGTGATTCAACATTATTTTTCAGACTCCATATGAATAAAATACATGGAAATTTCTCTGGTTTTGAGTGCCTAATAGTCCTCTTATTGTAGTTGCAATAAACCTGGAATTTTGCTGCTTGTCAATTCTTGACATTGTGAATTTGACTTTCTCCCTTTTTCTTTCTAAATAATATTCTATCATGCTACATGAATTTAGAGAAGTAGAGAGTGCTGGCATTTGGTATCAATTTTCCCAAACTCTAAATTTGCAACACTCTAAAATCGTCTGAAAATCCAGCCACAAATCAGAAGAGAGAAATGCAAAAGCAAACTCAATTGTATCAGCTTCAAAAGAACTCTTGCCCCATTGGGAGGTGTGCCACACGACTGTCAGCCTCACAGTAATCCAACAGAGCCTCCACCTAGTCATAGCTTCTAATGCAGGAATTAGTTGCACTCACTACCATTATTGCTCCATTGGAACTTGACAGCCCTGGCCATATCAATGATCACCATTCAAAACCTCAATCTGAAACCAGTGTTATCCCAAAAAGTCATAGCCAGAAGACCAACAAGAAATGATCAGCAGAAGTGAGAGCTTAACCCTCATTTGCTGGATGTTACGGTCAATCACTCTTTCCTATCTTTTTAACCCTATTACGCTATGCTACATCACAAGGATGCAACGGATGAAAGATGAAAACAAGGACCTCCACCTTCTTTAAGAACAACTACTAATATTAGGGGTCTAACATCATAGCAAAAAAATAGATACTTTGAACTAAGTCTACAGTTATTCAATTTAGAATGCATCCCAATTTCCTCACAAGTTCTTGTCAGAAGCAGTAAATAGAGAAGTAAAAGTAACTCCAGCTTTTGTCAGTATGCTTACCGAAATAAGACCTCCACTGCCTGGGAAAGAATCAGTTAGAGGAAGTTCCTCACTTGATGGAAGCAAACCTTGCTTCTCAACCCACTGACGAGCTACATCCACAAGATTGCCACTGCTTCCTCTTGTACCCTCTTTTGCAGCAACATCAGCTTTATTACCGATAACAACATATGGGACAGGAAGGCCACCAGGTCCACCAGAACCAAGAGGAGCTGAAAATGACCCAGTTGCAGCAATTTCAGCTGCCCATTTATGCAAGCTTGTCTTTGTCCTTCTCTGGGAAAGATCATGAACAAACATAACACCTGCATGTAAATTTTGAAAACAATCATTTGGATGCAGTTTTTGCAACAGATACAAGGGCAAGATAGTGTCCGTAGGAAATCTATAAAGAAAATAGCATTCACAGGCAGCAAGCAAAGAAAAGAATTTTTCCCAGATTTTTGTTTTAAATATCTTCCTTAGTATCTGAAAATTTGTAATTAAATTTTATATTTAATGAATATTTTTTCATAATACTTAATTTACAACAACTAAATATAAATAGGCAAAGATACGAGAGAGCTTGAGAAAGATACCAATTTGTTCAGGGATCGAACTTCTACAAGAAGTCGGATTCCTACACTCCCCTTCAAGTTGGTTTAAAAATATTGAGCAAATCAAGCTTGGAACATAGTTTTTCAAAAGTTTTCCTAGGTAACGCCTTGGTGAAGATATTCAGTTTGATGGCAAGACTAAATGTGCTACAAGGATAGTGCTTCTAACTCTATCTTCTCTTTAAAAAATTGTCTATCAATCTCCCAATGCGTAGGTCGATCATGATGAACCAGGTTCTTTACAATGCTTATTGTGGATTAATAGTCACATAACACTTTCATAGGCTCTAAAGAGGAAATTCTCAATTGATCAAATTCTTTCTACCCATATTCTTCCAGGGATACCATGAGCTAAGGCTCTAAATTCAACCTTAACACTACTCCTTGATCCTACTAATTGCATCTTACTTCTCCAAAAGTAACTAGATTTCTCCATATATATATATAGTATCCAAAAGTGAATCTTCTATCAATCATTTTTTTTTTTAAATAAAAAGTGTAACTAATATATAATCTTCTATCAATTATAAAATCAGCTCAGTCTATACCAGTATATATTTTAATTTCTTGATTTGTGTTTTTCTTGAAAAATAGTATTTATCTAGCTATCATTTTTAGGTATTTGAGAATCCGAAACACTATCTTTATAAGTTATTAAGTTCAGTTATTCATTAATTGACTAACTACAATGAAAAATTGATATCTACTCAAGTATGTGAGAAATAAATCAATTACCCACTAGACATTGATATCTTTCTTTATTAACTAAACACTATCAATTTTACTTCCTAGTTTAACATTGGAACTCACTAGTGTTTCTGGGGATTTGCATCTAAACATTCCAGTCTTTTTTAAAAGGTTCAACATATTTTCACTGAGAAACTAAGATTCCTTTCTTTCATATAGCAATTTTTATTCTCCATAAGTATTTAAGATTCGAACTTTAATATCAAATTATTTAGTTAAGATATTTTTGAGTCCGAGTATCTCCTCTATGTCATCACTTGTAATTATTATATCATCTACACATACGATAAAAATTATCATTTTTCTTAAAGAATCATACTTGACAAACATCGTATGATTTGTTTGTCATTAATTATATCTAACTTTTTGATTGTCTTAGTGAATTTATCGTACCATACTCTTAGAGATTGTTTCAAATCATATAAAGAGTTTTTTATTCTGCAGATCTTTTTATTAACGACTTGGCTTTTAAATCTAGATTGTATCTCCATATAGATTTCTTCCTCTAGTTTTTTATTAAGAAAACCATTCTTCACATCCAATTGGAATATAATCCAAATTATCAACTAGAGACATTAGTGTATCCGGATTGTATTAAACTTTGCTACTGGTGCAAATGTCTCATAATAAAATTTCATAGTATTGAGCAAGATCTTTGACTACTAATCAAGTTTTGAACTTGTTGATGCTATCATCAACATTATGCTTGATTGTGAACATCCATTTACAGCCGACTAGGTGCTTTCATAGTGATAATTTCTATTTGCAGTCCCACTTGGATTTTCTCCATTATTACAGTTTCCAATTTGGGTACTTCTAATGTTTTATGTATTGTTTTTAGTATCTGTATCTTATCAATATTGCTAATAAATATTTGGTGAGTTGAAGACAAACCTCTTTTTCAAACAAAATTGTGAATTGAATAATCAGTGTATGCTTCTCTTTTTTCTTAGAGCAATAAGTCCATCATTATTATATACGCAATCAAGGGATAGATCTAAAATTGTATTACCTGAAGTATTTAGTGATTCTGGATCTGTATCTAAATACAGATTATATTTATGACTCTAATCAAGTTGTCATGGCTCTTTCTGTTCTTGGTTCTTGTTCCATCAGTATAGACCCAAAGTTTAAGTTCTTCAGTGCGATGAGTGGGTCCAGATCTAAGTCTATCATCATGATATGTGTATTATAAGGAGCGAATTGGTTAGTTGGAGGATGAAGATTATTAGTGGTAGAGTCCCAAATGGGATTTTTGTCTATTTTTATCCCCCTGAATACCAATTTTATAGTATGGTAAGTTTTCATGAAAGGTGTCATCTATATTGTTATAGAATTATTTGATAACTGGTGAATAACAATTATATCTCTTTTAGTTTAGGATAAGATGAGTACTTGACAAAGATACATTTAGTTAATTGGCAGTTTAGTTTGATTATGTGATGATTGTGTATGTGCTAAACAACCAAAGACTTTGTTGATAAAGTAGATAGAAGCATGTGATAGGAAAGCTTTGAAGTATGACTTAGAAAGGTGCTTGAAACTCAATGACCCACGAAGACATTCTATTAATAAGGTATGTGTAGGAAGTTAATTTAGTAAGAAGTTAATTTACTATTTACAGTCTGTAATTGGAAAAGATTTTTTCTAAAAATATTCCTTTTTTGTTAGAATTGCAGGTAGTGGGGCGTGTCACCACTTCTGCTGTAGGTATCATTTTTCCTAAAATTCTGTTACAGAATTCTCTATAAATAAGCACATTATTGTGTTTGAATAATCAAGGAAGAAGGTTTTTTTCCCCCCTTCATTTTTTTAGGTTTACCTTCATGGTAGCAAAGCAGCCATTCTGATCCTTGCCCATTGTTTTCGGGTTAGCCAGAATTGCAAATGGCTTCCGGTGCAACGTCGTCTTCTCCACCCGAGATCTCTTCGGGGCCTTTCTTCCCTTCGTAACTCAACCAAGGCCTGGTTGAGTAGTCTTCATATCTGATTACAGGCTACAAACTAAACAGCAACAATTATTCATCTTCAGTGTTGCTTTTCATCCGGGGCAAAGGCCGTGAGGAGTATCTCATCGGTGAAGCAACGCCGCTCCCAGCAACTGACCCCAATGCGCGAACATGGAAGATGGAGAACAGCCTTGTAATGTCGTAACTGGTAAATTCCATGTTGTCGGAAATTGGAGAAAATTTTCTCCTTTATGAAACAGCTCACAAAATCTAGGTGTCCGCAAGAGAGTCCTACTCAACAAAGGAGAATACTTCAGCCATTTTTGAGATTGAGTCCGCCCTCCATGATCTGCGACGAGGTGAATATACTGTGACTCAATTCTATAACATCCTAACTCGCAGTTGGCAACAACTTGATATGTTTGAGGAGCATCGATAGAGTTGTACGGATGATGCAAAAGCCTTTCAAGTAATTACAGAACGCAAGCGGATTTTCAAGTTCTTGCTAGGTTTGAACTCTTATCTCGATGACGTGCGCGGCTGAATACTGGGCTTGAAACTGTTGCCCAATATTCGTGAAGTTTTTTTTTTAGGTCCGACGAGAGGAGAGTCGGAAGAAAGTCATGATGGGAGAATGATAGACAGCGACGACTGCAGCTGAGAACGCGTTTGCCCTCACAATACGTCTGGATAGTCGAAGCAAGAAAGGTCGGCCCTTCTGTGATTATTGTAAGAAGCCCGGCCATGTGCGCGACCGGTGCTGGAAACTCCATGGAAAGCGAGCTGACCAAAAGCCTTCAAGACCAGAAAATGCGACCGAGCTTCAGGGAAATTTGGTGACAAAAACCAGTGAAGAAGCTCCCTCAGCAGCAACGGAAAAGTGTCTTTTTACTCCTGAGCAGCTTGAGATGCTTCAAAAATTATTCTCCAGGAGTTCTGCTAATGTGACTATTTCTCACAAAGGTAAGACTTTTCATAGTCTCAGTTTTACAGCTTGCTCAACAAGTGGACAGACCTAGATAATTGATTCTGAGGCATCCGATCATATGATGGTAATGCTTCCTTATTTCAAGATTACAGACCGTGCACTGAGTGTTTTACAATTAAAATTGTTGATGGGTCTATCCCGAAAGTGGTTGGAATCGGGTCTGTTATTATATCACCAAAGATGACTCTACGTTCTGTTCTCTTTGTACCTAATTTGGACTGTAACTTGCTATCAGTAAGTAAGCTATCTGGGGAACTTAACTGTGTTGCTAAATTTGATTCAACGTTGTGTGAATTTCAAGACTTGGACTTGGAGAAGACGATTGGCAGTGTTAGGATGAAACCTGATCTCTACCTACTTCAAGCTGCCCTCTCTAGTGGACAAATTCAAAAAGCAGTATGTGTTAATTCAGTTTTTACAAGTAGCCCTAGTAGTAACAATGAAATTATGTTATGACATTTTCGCTTAAAACATCCAAATTTCTTGAATTTAAAAAGAATGTTTCTTTCATTGTTCACGAATAAAAATCTACTTTCATTTCAATGCAAAGTTTGTCAATTCTCTAAACATATTCGAAGTTCATTTCCTAGTCTAAATAATAAACCCTCAAAACCCTTTTCATTAATTCACAGTGATGTCTGGGGTCCCCCCAGAATCACTAAACCAAAAATAAATGGTTTGTATCCTTTATTGATGACCATACTAGAATCACTTAGATGTTCCTTATGAAAGAAAAATTAGGAGGTGCAATTTTCAAAAAATTCAGCACCATGATCAAAACCCAGTTCGATACTACCATACAAGTATTGAGATCCGATAATGCATGTGAATATTTTGAGTCAACCCTTAAAAACTACTTTGCAGAAAATGGGATAATTCACCAAAGTTCTTGTGCCATGCTACTCAACAAAATGGCAGCCGAGAGGAAAAACATGCACATCTTTGAAGTTGCCCGATCCATTATGTTCACCACACATATTCCAAAACAGTTTTGGGGGGAAACCTTACTTACACCACCTATTTAA